GAGGGGAGCTATGGGGGGAAAAAAGAGGAACAACTGTAATAACCTGAACAATAAAGATTTAATTAAGAAAAAAATAAAAGCCAATTGTTGTACAACCACAGAGCTCATATGTTTGTTCATTAAAAAGTATTGTAAGTGCCATTTTCTATAGTAGTTTTAATGAACAACTTTTAACAAATTAATTTTAATCTTTTAAATTAATTTACAAAACTAACAAAACTTAATTAACAAAATCCAAATTGACAAGATTGTATAAATATCTGATTAGTCTTTTGGCAAATTTTTATAGTACACAAATTCATTATGAAATGAGAAATTCTGTGTGTGTCCTAGGAGCATATTGTTGAAGAACAGAAAGACCTATAGCCACCAGCCAGATCAACAAGAAGCAACATGACTGAATTTGAACGATGGATACTCAGGAGCATGACTCAAAAGGGTACACTCACATTCTCTCCCTCCTCAACCCTCCAATTGTATCTTCCTCTTACTCACTTCTAGTGAATTACATTGCTTCCTATTTTATCAAAATGGCTAAAGCCATCATAAAAGTCCTTGTCTACTATTTAATTTCTACAGCTTGGTTCTACACTCATCCTCACATCTGAACCAAAACTAGTCTTCCTGCCTCCAGTTCTCCCCACCTCCACCACTCCAGGTTTCTACTTCAACCTAATCACCTTCCTAAATCCCAGTTTCCATTATGGCACTCTGCTCAAAAACTTTCAAAGAATCTACATGTCTATCAACATGGCCCTGTAAAATGTGATTGTGGCTATTTCCAACATAAATGTTCTCAATGCAGATCATTCCCTTTTATATTCTAACTCTACAAAGATTGTCTTCTCTTATGTCTTTCTCCAAGACTTCTAGAAAACAAAAACTGAGGCAAAGATTACAGGGTATTACTTTATTCAGGGAGGTGTATTCTCAGGACAAGAATGATGGAAAAGGAAAGTGAGGCAGGGAAAGATGGCAAGCTATGTGAGATAAGCATAACAACAATAGCCTCTATTTCACCATAACCTTGAAGTACTTCAGCCAGTCACTTGGTAGGTCACTCACTCAGCTACCTAGGTCCTAGGATGTCTCCAAATAGGCTGATCAGAGAAACTGTCTCAGATTAGCCTGTTAGAGGAAGAAAGGAAAAGAATATTTATCTGTTCAAATTCTTTCTAGCTCCTGGTTTTCTTTAGCCAAAGTAAACTCTCCCACACCTCTAGGTTGCATCTTCTGGGCCTTTTGCAAGCTGCTTAGAAAGCTCAAACTCATGCTTAATAGTGATAATTACTACAAGTATCAGTGTGGTAGTCTCCCAGGCACGGAGCTGGCCAGTGTTGGGTGATAGAACCTCATAGACCACAAATTCTGTCAGGCACAGCAGTTCAGGCAAAACAGATGGATGGAAGAGGTGAAGGTCCTAGAAGCAGATGAGACCAAGAAAATCTGCAGAGGTGTGTAAATTCAGTAAGCCATCTCCCCATCCAGACAAAGCCAGTGCTTTCATAAAATTTGCCCACTGATCATTCAATTCCCTGAATTCCTTGAGGATGTATGCTTATATTCTGCTAGGTTGTGAAAGCTATTTAAAGGTGGTGTGTGGCTTAGCCGGTTTGGTTCAGTGGATAGAGCAGTGACCTGTGGACTGAAGGGTCCCGAATTTGATTCCAGTCAAGGGCACATGCCTGGGTTGTGGGCTCAATCCCCAGCAGGGGACATGCAGGAGGCAACCATTCAATGATTCTCTCTCATCATTGATGTTGCTATCTCTCTCCTCTCTCCCTTCCTTCCTGAAACCAATAAAAATATATTTCAAGGTGGTGGTAGTGGTGGTGGTGGTGGTTGTGGTGTGTGTTTGTTTTTAGTCTCCATTAAATTTCAAACTCATGAATGTCAGGTACTAAGCCAGTAGTAATTCCTTGTATCCCCATCTCAACTGGCAAAATATGGGTGCTTAAATGGTATCCCACCAGTAGCTGCTTAATAAGTGAAAGAACAGAACAACCCAGAGAATAGACCTGGGAATCCCTTTAGCCTAAGTGAACACAAGAAAAACCTCTTTTCTTTTGACTTCATAGAAATAGTCTGAGATTTGAAAGAAACCCTAATGGATACCTAAATCATTCACAGGGATCAGGCCTAAACCAGCAGTCGGACATACCTCTCGCAATCCAGGACCACTGGCTCCTAACTGCTCACCTGCCCACCTGCCTGATTGCCCCTAACCCCCTCTGCCTGCTGGCCTGATCACCCCTAGCCGCCTCTGCCTGCCAGCCTGATCTCTCCAGAAAACAAAATCTGAGGCAAAGATTACAGGGTATTACTTTATTCAGGGAGGTGTATTCTCAGGACAAGAATGAAGGAAAAGGAAAGTGGGGCAAGGAAAGATGGCAAGCTATGTGAGATAAGCGTTACAACAATAGCCTCTACTTCACCATAAGCTTGAAGTACCTCAGCCAGTCACTTGGTAGGTCACTCACGCAGCTATCTAGGATGTCTCCAAATAGGCTGATCAGAGAAACTGTCTCAGATTAGCCTGTTAGAGGAAGAAAGAAAAAGAATATTTATCTGTTCAAATTCTTTCTAGCTCCTGGTTTTCTTTAGCCAAAGTAAACTCTCCCACACCTCTAGGTTGCATCTTCTGGGCCTTTTGCAAGCTGCTTAGAAAGCTCAAACTCATGCTTAATAGTGATAATTACTACAAGTATCAGTGTGGTAGTCTCCCAGGCACGGAGCTGGCCAGTGTTGGGTGATAGAACCTCATAGACCACAAATTCTGTCAGGCACAGCAGTTCAGGCAAAACAGATGGATGGAAGAGGTGAAGGTCCTAGAAGCAGATGAGACCAAGAAAATCTGCAGAGGTGTGTAAATTCAGTAAGCCATCTCCCCATCCTGACAAAGCCAGTGCTTTCATAAAATTTACCCACTGATCATTCAATTCCCTGAATTCCTTGTGGATGTATGCTTACATTCTGCTAGGTTGTGAAGGCTATTTAAAGGTGGTGTGTGGCTTAGCCGGTTTGGTTCAGTGGATAGAGCACTGGCCTGTGGACTGAAGGGTCCCGAATTTGATTCCAGTCAAGGGCACATGCCTGGGTTGTGGGCTCAATCCCCAGCAGGGGACATGCAGGAGGCAACCATTCAATGATTCTCTCTCATCATTGATGTTGCTATCTCTCTCCTCTCTCCCTTCCTTCCTGAAACCAATAAAAATATATTTCAAGGTGGTGGTAGTGGTGGTGGTGGTGGTTGTGGTGTGTGTTTGTTTTTAGTCTCCATTAAATTTCAAACTCATGAATGTCAGGTACTAAGCCAGTAGTAATTCCTTGTATCCCCATTTCATTTCAACTAGTATGGGTGCATAAATGGTATCCCACCAGTAGCTGCTTAATAAGTGAAAGAACAGAACAGCCCAGAGAATAGACCTGGGAATCCCTTTAGCCTAAATGAACACAAGAAAAACCTCTTTTCTTTTGACTTCACAGAAATAGTCTGAGATTTGAAAGAAACCCTAGTGGACACCTAAATCATTCATAGGGATCAGGCCTAAACCGGCAGTCAGACATGCCTCTTGCAATCCAAGACCGCTGGCTCCTAACTGCTCACCTGCCTGCCTGCCTGATCGCCCCTAACCACCTCTGCCTGCTGGCCTGATCGCCCCTAGCCGCCTCTGCCAGCCAGCCTGGTCACCCCTAACTGCCCTCCCCTGCTGGCCTGGTTGCCCCTAACCGCCTCTGCCTAGGCCCCCGCCACCGTGGCTTTATCCAGAAGGATGTCCAGATGGATGTCCGGAAGATGTCTGGTATAATTAGCATATTACCCTTTTTATTAGTATAGATTATACAACATATGCTTTAAGGTAGCATTGCATTAGTAGAAATGAAGAGACATTTCATTAAAAAATGTATATTGGTTTGATATGATTCAAATCCACTTGTTTATGACAAAAATCAAGTCTTTAAGAATAGAATTGCTTGCCATAGCTGGTTTGGCTCAGTGGATAGAGCTTCAGCCTGAGGACTGAAGGGTCCCAGGTTCAATTCTGGTCAAGGGGAGAATAATATTGCTTTGCTATCAAAGCCAAGTAAGGTGTGTCATTCATTGTCCCTGATATGAAGTCTGAGCAGCTCAGTTGCTAGGCGATTTCACTGGGTTCTTATCAAATAAAATCTGTGGAGAAGCAGCTACGCCCACCATGCATTTAGTCTATAAAAACCAAACGTTGGGGAGGACAGAGTGCTTCTGGGGTAGGAGACAGTGGGGGTCAGCAGTTGGGAGGCAGGGAAGATGCGGGAATGCCCAGTGCCTGGAAGCGCCAGAGGGTCTGGGAAATGCAGATCTGCTGGGGGCAGGGGCAGGCTAGAGAGGTCAGGTCCGGAGGGAGACCATGGGTGCAGTTCTGGGGGATCCCCTTCCTTCGAGGCTCCTCCTTCTCCCCTTAACCTCCTAACCTGTCCATTTGGATGAAGGGGGTGGGAAGCAGGTACACAATGCCTGGGCGGGATGCCCCTCAGAACCGGATCCCTCCCAGGGTGGGGGAGGGGTGTTTGTATTGCTTTATTTAATTTTTCTTACACGATGAAGGGGGTGGCAAGGAAGTGTCTGTCAGACATGGTTTCCTTCTGCTTGCTCACCCAACCTGCCCCATGTGATGCCTTTTCCCTTTCTTCCCTGCTGCCCCGAGCTAACATGCATGAGATCGCCAGGACGAAACTGGGGCCCACGTTGTATTGCTTGGAGATTGCGCTCCACAGGAACCTGCCTGATCCAGGGAGGGTTGGGGTCATTCACTGTGGGGAAAGGCTCTATTTAAACAAAGCCACCACTTAGGCACTGGCTGAGCCATTTGTGGAGGGTTTATCATCCTTCTGGCTGTTTCCTTGGAAACAACAAACTCAAGATAGCAGTGGAATGCTGCGTCCCCTTATTTGAAACCCTGATTCTCTAGGCCATTGACTTAGATGCCCCAGGCAAGTGTGGGATGTCCCTTTCTTACTGATATGATGGCGCACAGCCATGTTTTAGGTAGGTTAGGATTTGGGCTCCTACCTGGGCTGGCACAGGGGGCAGGGATACAGCCTGCTGATCCGGTTGTTCTGTGATGGCGTAATGGACAATTTGCATATTCCTCTGTTATCAGTATAGATTCCTTCCCCTACAGTACCACACACATGATCTGTACATAATCACCTTGTTTTAGTTGGTTGAATATGTGATTGTAGATACTTTAAGAGCCTATAATCATAAAAAGCACATTGCTGATGAAGTAAAAATGTGGATTTTTTTAGTAAATAAGTAAGTGAGAAGAAAAGGTATGAGTAGAAAAGTGAGAACGTTCAGATTGAAGTTAAAAGGTGACTGGCTAAATAACATCTTGCCTACACTCCAAGAAAAGCATTTACACAGTTGATTGAAAAATATGTGGGTCCCACCCCATATACTGTTTATTTCCCCATTCTTCTGTGGCTTATCATTGAAATCTTGTTTGCTCTATTTGTGCTGTTACCTCTGCTCTTTATTCTCTCTGTTCCTTGAACATCTTATCCTCTGTGCTACTTCCTAGC